CGTGATTGGTTCCAATTGAGTTTGAAGGAAGGTCTTACCGTCTTCCGTGATCAAGTAAGGGATTTATTATTAAATATTTTTACTAATTTGTTTCAAGCTCCAAAGAAATCTATATGGGCGCGTTTGGTACGCCAGACAGGGAACAAAAACTTGGTCCCACTTTTGGTGCGACAATCAGACTCGAACGGGATAGGAGTGGGATAAAAACGCTTTTTTTATCTATCCCACCAAAATAGTTGTAACAAAAATCGGGGAGATGAGACAAGCTTCTTAAATTATAAAATTACCAAACTACCCATGTCAAATTAAAACCTTGAAACCTTCCACAATTCTTTCACCGCCTACCTCACTCTCAGGGCTTGTTTGTTAGCAACTTAATGAGCTTAATGGGGCTCGCAACTTTTCTGTCAACTATAAATTACTGTTTGGCAGTGGCTTAATGATACAGAAAGTGGCTTATTAAGAAAGCTTCCAAGGGGTGCTTTATATAGAAAGCCAAGTTTTTTCCAAACCTGCCCATCCAACACGCTCATTCCATCTATGAAGAAACCTTCTCAAACAAAAAACCATCCCGATCTACACAGACAGATGAATCCACACAGACAGCTTTATCCGTACAAGGCTTAATGAAAAACCAATCAAACAGGCCTTCACTCGTCTAGTCCTGTCCACGTGCCAAACGCACCATATACTCATGGCAAAATATAAGGTCTTGATGCTTAACGTATGTGGCAGGAATTTTCATCCGACCTGGGCAGCCGTACAGTAAAGCGGATCAGTGATGTTTCGAAGCTTCGTATCTACCAATTTTCACAGGTTATTGTTCAATTTACGTCTTTTAACGCCAAATATATGATGGTCTTGCTAAAAGGCGTCATGCTATGGATTTTTCGGATACATAATACTTCTTCATAATCTTTTTCTAGGATGCGGGTCCCATGGCTCACCCCGTTAGGCCTCACTCATACATTAAGGTCCGATACTCATTTCCACCGTCTCTAATTTCTCGTTTAGTATCTATAAGATAAAGTTTTCTTGATCGAAGTTTCAAAAACGACATTTTCCTGATTGTTTTTGTTTCTCTTTTCCTCAGATGGACAACTTCTATACGGGYAAGTTTCTTATACGGTTTTGGGATATAAAAGATTTACTCTATTTATAGCATTAGCCTGACATTTGAATGTTTTTATCGTTGCTTCTGCTGATATCTTGAATATGGTGGTGGATTTTTCGTGATTATTGTTCCGCTCTGCAGTAACGGTATGCTTCTGATSTGCTCGTCTTTACTGTACTCCCTTCGTCCCAAAATAAATGAAAAAAGACGCAAAGGTTTAGAAATATGTAATTATTACAGTTTTTAAATTACCTAAAAGACAATTTTACCCTTAAGAATAGCGGGGGTAATGAAATTCTCCATCTCATAATTAGGGTAGAATTGGAAAGTAGACGGTTACTTCTGAAAGTGGACACTTGTTAATTGCACATTGAAAGTGGACACTCATTTTTGGGGCACACTAATATAGAAATATGGACACTTATTTTGACGCGGATGGAGTAACATTTATTACATTTTGGCTTGAAAAAAGATGGCTGATTGTGGTTTTTCGATTTTACGTTCACAGGTGTACGMRAAGGGGGCRGAAGTTGTTCGTATGTACAAAACTCTATTGGGAAGTGAAGGATTCCGAAAAGTAAGGAAAGATGGATAAATGGTTGAACATGTGATGTTTATATGGTTATTTTATCRTAAATTTGACGTTCGTTTTTCAGGGAACGGATTTGTACTTCGAGAGGCACGACGGGCAAGCTGTAACTTGTGAAGATTTCTTTGCCGCTATGCGAGATGCTAATGATGCGGATTTTGCTAATTTCTTATTATGGTATTTGAATAATTTGCTTTCATATAAACTTTTGCTGTTTTCGGTTTTGGTTAAAATTATTATTATGCATTTAATCATGGCTTGTTTTCAGGTATTCGCAAGCTGGAACTCCTGTCGTGAAGGTTACTTCTTCTTACGATGCTCAAGCTCATACCTTTTCTTTGAAGTTTAGGTATTCTTCTAATTTTCTATTGGTCCAAAATAAGTGTCTACTTTTTCATTTTAGTTTGTTCCGACATAAGTGTTCACTTTCAGAAGTATCTACTTTCCAATTCTACCCTTAATAATGTGATGGATAAATTTTTTACTCTATATTTTATAAAGGGTAAAATTGTCATTTAGTTCTTGAGAAGTGTAATAATTACATATTTGTAAAACTGTACGCCTTTTTCATTGAGCGATTAACAAGTGTCAACTTTCAGAAGTAAGTGTCTACTTTCCGATTCTACCCTTAATTATGAGATGGAGAAATTCATTACCCACTCCACTACAAAGGGTAAATTTATCATTTAATTAATTATAAAGTGTCATGATTACATGTTTCTAAAACTATATGTTTTTTCATTGTCATTTAATTAATTAAAAAGTGTAACAATCACACATTTGTAAAACTGTATGTCTTTTTCATTCTAGCATTAACAAGAGTCCACTTTCCCATTCTACCCTTAATTATGAGATGGAGAAATTCATTACTCACTCCATTATAAAGGCTATAAATTGACATTTAGTTCATTGAAAAGTGTAATAACTACACATTTCTACAACTGAATGTCTTTTTCATTGTGGACATTTATTTTGGGAATGAGGGAGTAACGGTTTTCTTCTAAAGATTTCAACACGAGGGTTATTCGGATTTTATAAACGACCTTTTTGATTTCTTGGCACTTCTTTTTTCAGCCAAACTGTGCCTTCTACACCAGGGCAGCCCACGAAAGAGCCGATGTTCATTCCTGTGTCGGTGGGACTTCTCGACTCATGCGGCAAGGATTTGCCGCTATCATCTATCTATCATGACGGGAAATTAGAGTCCGTCACATGCAAGGGTCAGCCCGTCTACACTACGGTTCTAAGAGTTACAAAGGTAGGTTTTGTATTTGGGCTATGTTTGCTAGTTTATCAGTCATTTTTGGTAAAAATTAGTTGATAAGTTAAATTACAATGTAAAATGACATAAAGGGACATATTAAAAAAACTATAAGAAGGGACATAAATTGAAAAAACTGGAAAAAATACGGTTATTGAAATGCTACGTGAAGCTTCTTCTCAAAAAGCTAGTTTCTATGGCTAAAAGGGCTCGGGAAAAGTATTATAGTTGTCCTAAAAGGTCAAAGTTACAATCTTTGTGATGGCGGGAATACATACAGGGTCAGGTTCAGGGGAAAGCCGCAAAAAGGTGAAAAACTGAGGAACCCTCAATTACTATTCACCCGTAGGGTATGCACATGTGCATACTAGTAATTTTGTTCGGTATGTACAGGTGCGTAAAATGAACACGTGCATAGAAACCAGAAAACGTCTTCAATTACTTGTATGCACATGTGCATACCGTACAAACAAGCGGTTATTATGATGTTTCTCAGTTTTTCTATAATTTCAGGGGTTTTCCCTGAACCTCACTCACTCACACACACATCTCTCTTTCTCTCTCTCTCTCTCTCTCTCTCTATATATATATATATATATATATTTATAGATAGATAGATAGATAGATAGATAGAGGTGGGTTATTATGCAACCCTTTACATTCCTACAACCCTTACAATCAAATCAGGAGTGTCCATTTGATGATCAACGGTTACCATTTGATTGGTTGTAACACCCTTAATTAAAAGGATGGTGGATAGGTGGTTGCATTGGTTGTATAATCTAGAAGGGTCGTATTCGAACGACCCTCTCTCTATATATAACAGGTTATGTAGTATTACTAAATCTTGATACGGCTTGAACTCGTGTGTCTTGCAATCAGGGTGAAGAAGAATTTGTATTCTCCGATGTGCCGGAGAAGCCTGTTCCGTCTCTGTTGCGGGGTTATAGCGCTCCTATTCGCCTAAACTCTGATCTCACAGAGAAGGATCTCTTTTTCCTTCTTGCTCATGATTCAGATGGATTTAATCGGTAACTTTTCTGAATACAAAAATCGTTGATCCCATTGACCATACACATGCACAAACCTATTATTTACAACCATTGGCCTAAAGCTGATCGATGGTTGATGGAGGATTTCCTCGTTCTACAATACTTTTAGGGTTCTCCCTTGAACCCACCCCTATATATATATATATATATATTTATTGGAAAACATATATTTAACGATGGTACTGTTATTGCAGTTGGGAAGCTGGACAAATATTGGCAAGGAAATTGATGCTCAGCCAAGTTGCTAATTTCCAAAAAGATGAACCGTTGGTTCTCGATCCACAGTTCGTGCATGGTATCAAATGCATTCTTCTGGATTCAAGTTTGGACAAGGTATCGTTCTTGGATACCCCTTCTTGTTTTTCTTGAACATTTTTTTGTTGTTGGTAATTTTGGGTGTCCGGGCCCCGCTTAAGCGCACCCCGATTAATCCCACGAGGCACTAATGATAGCAGCCAGGAAAATCCCCTGTGGCCACTCGATCTGGCAACCTATTGAACGGAATTTAATTTGATTTGTGTAATCTAATGTAGGAATTTATCGCGAAAGCAATAACTCTCCCCGGTGAAGGTGAGATCATGGATATGATGGAAGTAGCGGACCCGGATGCCGTCCATGCCGTTCGATCTTTTATCAGAAAGCAGCTTGCTTCTGAATTGAAACAAGAGTTCCTAAACCTGGTACAARTTACAAATATACCCCCACCCCACTCGTATCTTTGTGGCTTGAGTTAATATTGGCATACTCCACAGGTGAAAGAAAACCGGAGCTTGGAAAAGTATGAGTTTAACCATGCTAATATGGCAAGACGGGCTCTGAAGAACACGGCCCTTGGTACTTATTTTTTCACTTTTTTCGTTGTTTTATTATATTAGGATCGGAATTTGTTTATATCGCGGGCATAATCTCGATCTTCTTAAAAAAGGTTATCTGGGATCTCTTGATGATCAAGAAGTGATTGAGCTCGTGTTGCATGAATACTTAACTGCCACAAATATGACGGATCAGTTCTCGGCTTTGGCAGCCATTGCCCAGAAACCTGGTCAAGCCCGTGATGATGCTTTGGCCGACTTCTATAAGAAATGGCAGCACGACTTTCTCGTACGCTTTCAATCCGTTTTTTTCCGTTCTAATCTCAATTCCCATAACCGAGTCCTAGATTAGCCTACACATTGTAGTTACTGTTTCTTGGTTATGTTTCTTGATGGAAACAACCGCTTTGCTATTTAGGGTAGAGGTCAAATGTACGCAGACCCCTTGGGTCAACCTCTGGGCTCGTTTCGGTCATCTTTATCGAATTTCAGTTTGGAGCGATTATTATGTTGTTTATCTTCTTTTCTTGATTTTCAGGTGGTTAACAAGTGGTTTGCGCTTCAATCCGCGTCGGATATTCCTGGGAATGTCGAGAATGTTCGGAAACTTCTAGACCATCCGGCATTTGACCTAAGAAATCCCAACAAGGTTAGAATCTTTGACTCATTCACTCGTGTGCTCGGTTCGGGGTCTTCTTGGAAACAGACGCTCTACTCTGTATGGGGTAGAGGTCACGTCTGCATGCATCTCCCCCCCCCCCCCCTC